GGAAGAGTTGGAGGACAGCAAGAAAAGGATGAGTGGGTTGAAAGGGTGCAATAAATAGGTCTAGGGAGAAAAACAGGCCAATAAGATATGTTCTATCTGGAGAATCTGAAAAAAGTTGGTGTTGAGATCACCAGCAATAATGATCTTTTGAAAGAGATGTAATGTATATATGTAAGGAGGCAGGATTCAAAAGTGGGATCAAATCAGTCATGAGGGAGGTGGTAAATAATGATGTAAAGTAGAGAAAAGGTTCTAGATGAAAATTAGACAAATAGATATTCAATGTGCGGGATGTCGGAAGGAGATTTTAAGGGATTTTGGCCCTCAGACTATCTTGAACAAACAGACCACACCTCCTCTAATTTGATCCATCTGATCATGATGAAAGAGAGTATAGTCTAGTATGGAAACAGATGGTGATGGGGAAAACAGGGGATTGGGAGTTAACATGGCAGGATATTAAGTTATTAATCATGAAGGAATTAAAAACAGGACAGACAGTGAAGCCGATACATTTTTAAACAGTATATTGCAAAACAAATAAAATAGAAAAATAAATGTGAATCTTAACTAGCAATTGTAAGCAGGAGTGAGTATAGATTAAAAAAAAAGGATTTAAACAGTATATTTAAACAGTATAACGATACATTTTTAAACAGTATATTGCAAAACAAATAAAATAGAAAAATAAATGTGAATCTTAACTAGCAAATGTAAGCAGGAGTGAGTATAGATTAAAAAAAAAGGATTTAAACAGTATATTTAAACAGTATTTAAACAGTATAACGATACATTTTTAAACAGTATATTGCAAAACAAATAAAATAGAAAAATAAATGTGAATCTTAACTATCAATTGTAAGCAGGAGTGAGCATAGATTAAAAAAAAAGGATTTAATTTAAAATAAAATAAAAAACTTCAACATTTCAAAATAATAATAAAAGAAAATAATAGTAAGAGTTTGGTCTGAGACAGCCACCAATTAACTTACTTCTGTGTTATTACATGTTTTATTTAGTTGAAGTTGCTTTTTTTTTTCTTTTTTGAAATTTAAGTTAGTAGAAATCATATACAGTTCGTATTTCCTCACATTTCAACGAGAAGTGGAAGCAATGAAATTATATAAACTATCAAGAGCTACAGGACTGGGGTAAGCAACTGAACTCTGTAGGATTAAGCCCTGTTGTTGGTCTTATGTATCATAATAACCAGATTTGTTATTACGACCTATTTATTATTTAACAATATGGCTCATTGCCCGCTATGCAGCAGCACCATCGCTCGGGAAGAAAAAAATATTTTATGTTGTGGTAAGTACAAATTATTAATTCACAGGTGTTGTAAAGTTAGCGTTAAAGAGTTTGAGGTCCAAAAATACTCAAAAAAAGATTGGTTTTGTTCTAGCTGCGACCAAAGTAGGTGAAAATCCTGACCAAAACCACACCTCTCAGCCAACATCATAAATTCTTGCGGTTGTGACTCGCTTAGATAAACACATACATGATGAGATTAAATCAGCTCTATGGAGATCTGAGCATTGAATTAAACATTGAACTCAATAAAATTGAAAATCACCTAGAGTAACAAAGCAAAGATTTGGAAGAGATAGTCTCTGAATACAAGCCCTTAAATCAAGAACAGGCAAATTGGAAGTTAGCCTGAATAAAGCCGAACAGGGCTTGTTATCTAGATCGCTCGAGATCAGAGGCATACCAGTTCGAGCGGCGAGACTCTAGCAGTCCTTGTGATCAGTATAGGAGCCAGCATGGGCATCAAGCTTAAGGTCAATGACCTGGACACTGGGCAGCACCGCAAAGCCAGAAAAGATGACCAATTATCATGCAATTCGTCAGGCAGTCAGTGAGGGACGATCTAGTGCTGAAGAGAACAGTAAAAAGGGAGTTCATTTATGCTACACTGGGCACAGACTATGAAACAGATCCACTTTAAACTATTCCTTGTAGGGGCCTGTCATAAAAGAAGCAATTCATTTCTTCTAATGGACAGGAATACCATTAGGCGGGTGACAGGATTGTATACTGGTCACTGTCAATTAAATAAGCACCTTTTCAATTTGTGTGTAAGTGAAACCTCCACCTGCAGGCTATGTGGCCTGGAGGATGAAACGGCCTATCACATTATCTGCAAATGTGATCATTTGGCTAGACTGCGATACTTTCACTTTAGATGGGACCTTATCACTGCGAACTGATTAATCCCAATAGTATCAATAAGTTCGCGAAGGCATCTGGCCTGTTTTAACTGAGTTTAGGATGTCGCACAATAGGCCTTTTTGACGCTGCGGTGCACAACAATGTCAGAGAAAATTTAAAAAAAAAAAAAAAAAAAAAAAAAAAGGAGTTCTCAAGAATAGCAAGATATTGGCTGGCAGGAGAATGACTTCCACCGAATTTACCTCAGCAAAGAGATGACTCCCCCAAATAAACACCTCTATTGGCTGGCCCAACCAAAGAAAGGTGCGGGGAAAATTTCGCTAACACTTCCAACCCTGTTCCTTCATGATAATCCTATCAAATTTTATCCCACCACCTTGGAATAATCTTTGATTAAACCCTTCCCTGGAAAAACCATGTATCCAATATCTCCCGCTGTACCTTTTCTACCTTAAAATGTCTAAACAGCCTTTTTTCCTTTTGAAATCTGTAGACTCCTGGTCACTTTCTCAGTATTTCCCCACTTTTACTATTGCTGCACGGTATACGGAGGCATCGCTTGGGATCTCAAGGAAAAACTAACACGTTTGATAAATTGCTTTGTACGATTCATCTTCGGGATCCCAAGGGACATCTCTGTTTCCTGTTTTTATGAAGAGTTGAAGTGGCTTTATCCTTCCTACCGTTTTAAGTATTTTCTGGCATCTTTCCTATTCCAAGTCATTAACTGCCGCCGCCCCTCATACATCTCCAAGCTCCTTCAATTTAAATCCTCTGTTTACTCCCGCAATACCCGCTCAGGTCTTCAGATTTATATATAACGGCCCATCGAACCTCTGCTTTCGATAGACCTTTTATTATTCGAACCACATCCCTATGGAACTCCATCCCACCCTACATTCATCGGTCCAATACCCTCCCAACTTTTAAATCCCGCCTATTCAATCACTTCCTTTCCGTGCAGTCCCTATAAAATTGTAAATATGTATACATAATATTTGTCTTTTTTTTTAATTATTTCCATTTCATGTTTCTTTCATTTTTTTTTTTTTTTTTCTTAATCGATTTAAGTTAGAAGATAACTTATATATTTTTTCTAGTATATCTATTAGCTTACTTTGTAAATACATTTATATATCTCTGAGGCTCAAAATCCCACATTTCTGTCCTTGTTTATTATTCTAAAGGGACTTGTTCCAGAATAAATAAAAGATTATTATTATTAATGCAGAGTAGACATTAATTAATATGTATTAATACTGATTCTATTATTAGCAGAGATAATATTAAAAATTACTTTTTTGTTTAGCACTAAACATCAAATACTATCAGAAATTATGTTTAAAGATAGATCCCATTATTATATTGGGAGGTCCGGTTCACCCATGTGTCAGGTCAATTCATACAAAAGCACAAAAAAAAACACTGTTTCTTGTAAATCAGAAATTATGAGTAATAAAAATTCTACCAGAAAATAAAAATATAACTCTTAATCAACCACCTAATTTCTATTAAAAAAAACATTTAACTGGAAATAAATGGAAGTTTATCCATTCAAACACATATGGTAATGCGAATTAAGATATTATAGTTTATAACAACATTCTTATCTAGTATCTTGGCTTAAAGAAAAAAAAATTAAACAACCTACGTATCATGAAATTAGGAAATATTAGATTAAACAAATAAATAAATAAAAAGTAAAAATCCTCACTATTCAAAAGCAGGTGCAGTTGAAGCTACGAAGTTTACTTATTGTAAACAAAAAATAAATAAATAACCAAATCAACAATTTAGAACACTTGATTAAACTTTCAGTTGCACAATATTTAAGTATTAATTGTAAATTCAGTATAAAATTAAGTTCACTGACTGGAAAAATAGAATTTTGTCTAAAATCTTAAAGCCAAAAAACAAAACGAACAAAAAAATTCACTGGATAATAAATAATGATTTACATTTTAATCAACACTTATTTTCTTTATTAAAGTCTTGGTCAATAAATCTGCTAAAAGAATTTCCCAAAAGCAGCTATGAAAGGTGATACGAACAGATAGGTTTTCATTTAATTTTCTAACTAAATATCATTTATTGATAGGCTTAAAATAAATCAAGGAGATAGCAGCTATCAAGAATGTCATATAGTAGTAAGTCATCTATTTATTAAATGCTTAAGTTTCAACGCACATTTTAGGTTTTCATCAGGGCAACAAGTAGCTGAAAATATTATAGTACTATAAATATGATATATGAATAATAAGAAAGTTAATAGTGATAATTGTTCAAACAACTGAAATATTAATGTATTATAAAGTGGCGAATAAATAATACTCAAAAAATAATAACAGAAAAAGTAAGAATGATAAAAAATGGAAGTAATAACATCAAACATTCAATATTAGATGAGCACAGCTCAAAAAATATTCTTTGTAGGAACACAAATCAGAATCATGCTAAACTTCATTTAGAAAACTCCATCGAATATCCACGAACACATGTTGCTTCTAAATCAGCTATTGTGTCAAATAGTTTGACCTAATATTCGAGAGCTGGCTGTTCTTTGGAAATATAGGGAGCCAACCATTAAAATTACTGACATTAAAATTTTTGAGTTATGCCTCTCATTGTGGAAGTGTGATAAAAAGCAATACAAGATAAATAAATATGTTATGCAGAAGAAAATATTTGGTGTTCTGATTTAATAATAAATGTATTCATAGAAAGATTGAAAACATAATAAATAACCTAAAATATGGGTTTCTAAACGAAAAGGTAAATGAAATAATAACCGATATTACTTATAATCATAAAACAAAATTACTTACAACACTCAGCAGATCAGAAAAATAAACTTTATCATGATAAAATATTTACAATTTGAAGAAAAGAAAAATATTAGTTGGACACGATAGAAAATAATAATCTGACCATTTAAAACTATCGAAAAAACCTACAGCAATAGAAAAACGTATACAAGAGGAGTGTTAGAGATAGCAGCGAGAACTATGTAACTAAAAGACAACCTCCCCCTTTATCAGTGAGATATAGACTGTCCAGACGCCATTTGCAAATTAGTATTTCAAATTTTTAAGATTATTAATATTGTTGGTAAAACAACATCGTTTTCAGCTATTTGTCGTAAAATTTCTCTCCTGGAAAGGTTATCACATTTATAATATCAAATAAGAAAAAAAAAAATTTGAAAATTATTTCAGCATTTCGATAAGAAATGGAAAATTTATTGGTATTAAAAGGCTACTTGTGTCATAAATTGTTATTTTAATATCTAAATATAGAAAGTATTTCGGAAAAATATGGAACCGGTAGAACTTACGACAGTACATCCTATTATCTGCTACATTAAAAAAAGCGAAATTAACAGCAGAATATACATATATATATATATATATATATATATATATATATATATATATATATATATATAACTAGCTTCGTGCTGTTATAGAAAATAATATAAAGAACACTAGATCATAGGATAGAGCTGATGATTATTTTGTCACCGACCGTAGTGATAAGTATAACAAAAAAGCGCCCAATGCCGTTGTTACTTTACTATTATACATCAGATTATATGTAAGTGAGATAAACTTTTGTGTCATTCGACTATTCACATCGATTAAGAAACATATATCTTATTACTTCTTTAAATGACAGAATTCACTTTAATTCATGTCAGTATGACAAGGAATAGAACTTCGTCAAGGAGTGAGAGTACAGTGTAGTATCTAAGGATGGGATGGATCTCGTGGAACTTTGTGAGTGTGGAACAAGAACTCTTCCACGAAGGTCTGCTAATTAGTTCCAGAGGAACCTAGAACGCTCTGCCTCCGTTTGGCACCTTTGGGGAGAGACTGAAGTCGGTCACCCATATCAGGACATTTACATCCCTGGAAACCACTTATATATAAATACAATATAATATTGGCACTTGATAAGAACGAATTCTGAAGATTTTGTCTTGTTTTCTTTCATTTTCATAGTGCCATTGTGGTTTACCCGTATCATGTTGATACTACTGACTGATGCACTGCTTGTAGTTGCATGTATTTTAGTTCAGTTACCTTGTCATGAAAAGGGGGTTCTAATTTGCATGAACTGGTAGTAGGTTTCTTTTTGTTCTTGTATGGTATGTGACTGAGATGTAAAATCCAAATATTTAAACTCGGCGGACCTGTTTAACCTGAGTCAGGGAAATAACAATTTATTCAATTTACCATTTTGAGTTGGGATGTGGGGAGGACACTATTCGCAAATATTGAAAATAGATTTCATTGGAATACAAAGTTCATTTAAACAACATTTACATCAAGTGTATACAAAACGTTATTGGAGTTGTAAACGAAATGTAAATGATCCACGTTTTCTTCGGATTGTAGGACAAGAATCTAGCAAATCTGCTAATCCACCTCCTTCAATGCCTTATTCACCGTCCTGGACTTTCTGAAATAGAATGAAAATATTTATTTGCTGAACATCTCTAGATAAATCTTGTCGGAAAGTCCTAATATAACACAATATTTAATATAATATTAATTGATGCCACGAAAGATGTGGATTGAAGGATTTGCTCGATTCTGGTTCTTCGAATGGAAGGAAACATCTTTAATTCACGTTTCGTTTACACTTCCATTCACTTTATTTCCAATTTCGGTATACACTTGACGTAAATGTTTGTTAAACAAATATTTTATTTCAATTTCGGTCGTCTGGTTGTGATCAGTGATCTCCCCCTCTTGCACTAATTTTTTTCCCTCCTTCACTTCCTCTGCAAAATGTTAAATTGAATAAATGTTTATTTTACTTACTCGTATCATACAGTTTATTGAAGATATAAAAACAATTGCGTATTGGGCTCCACCGATTACCTACAACTTAACAAAAAACAAACCTACTGCAACAAACAACAAGACGAACCTAATGCACTCACCTATCTTATTCCACACCACCGTTAAAAACCTAGGTGTTACTTTAGATCAAACACTATCCTGGAAACCACACATCTCCCAAATTTCCCGTCGCACTATCTCCACCCTAAAACAGTTCAATCGTCTACGATATATCCTTCCATATAAGTCCCGTCAACTCCTAGTTTCCTCCCTTGTTTTCCCCCACTTCGACTATGGTTGTATGGTGTACGGTGGACTCTCGGGAGATTCCGAGGCCAAACTTAAACGCCTAATGAATTGCGCACTACGATTTGTTTTCGGAATCTCAAGGGATACGCATATTACCCAGTATTACACTGAGTTGAGGTGGCTCTATCAATCCTATCGCCGTCAGTACTTCCTAGCCACCTTTCTGTACCAAATCATTAGAACTCATCGACCCTCCTATATTTTTCACAGCTTACAATTCAAAAACTTCATCCAATCCCGTCCCACTAGATCTCATACTTCCGACCTCTATCCTCCTTCTCACCGAACTGCTGCGTTTGACAAATCCTTTGCAATACAAGCCGTCTCCCTCTGGATTCCATCCCTGCTGATATTCGACAGGCTCAATCAGATCCCTCTTTCAAACCTCTCCTCTTTATGCCCCTAATCCTTTCTTAATCAGACTGATTGTGAAATATACTTAAAAGAAATATCTAAGCACCGCCAGAGACTACCTCAATTTATTTAGGTTATTTTAGTTTCTCATATATATATGTACAATTTTCTTGTTCTTTACTTTCTCTTTTCAGTATTTTTATTTTTAGTCAACTCTTATTGTAAATATACAATCTAATTGTAACCACGCAGACATACAATCTGTATTTATATTTTGTTCTAAAGGGACAACAGTCCCAGAATAATGAAATATTTTTTCATTTCATTATGTATACACATATATACACATTTTTTTTTTCTTTATAAAATGTGTTTTTTTAGTTTACGATGTAAAATATCTTGTGAATTTTGTCTTTTAAAGGGGTACAAAAACATCCCTTAAAGAAAATACCCTTTTTTTAATTAAGTAAAAAAAATTTTGGAAAAAAAATTAATTTGTTTGTAGATAGATAGATAGAAAATAATTTTATTCTGGGACACTTGAGTACCTTGAGTATAACAAAATTAAAATATTACATCTGGCCAAAATAAAATCAATCGAAAAAGACACTTAAAGCTATTTGCACTGATATCGCAGTATACACTTTTAAGAAAACAATAAAGAATTAAAAAATAAAAACATATTAAATTCTTTATTAAAATAAGCTTTGTGCTTCTGTTGAGAAAACAGAAAGCTGAATCTGACAATATAAAGTGCCTGATTAGTATATAAATACATTATCATTTAGCATTTATATTTGACAATGACTGACATGAAAAAAATGTATGTTGTCGAATGGTTAGCAACTATCTGACTGTTTTTGGGATAGGAATTGGAATAGGAGAGTTTTAAATGTGGATATGGATGGGGAATCTCGAATTTTGATAGGGAGGGAATTCCAGAAATTGACAGAGCGAGCAATAAAGGAGTTTTGAATGAGGCAGATCTGTGAGAAGGCATGTAAAGGTTAGAAGGTCGAGATCTTGTGGACAGGGAATGGACTGAGGATTTGAACTGGAGAAGGTTGTAGGCGTAAGAAGGACGATGGTTGTTGATGATTTGGTAGAGGAACGTACCTAGGAAATATTGTCTTCGGAAGGAGAGGAAAAGCCACTTTAACTCAGCGTAGTGGTGATAGACATGGGAGTATCTTGGGGCCCCGATCACAAATCTTACGCAGCTGTTCATTAGTCTTTTCAGTCTATCGCGGAGCTCCACAGAGAGGCCATCATACACCACACAGCTATAGTCAAAGTGGGGGGAAATGAGAGAGAAAACTAGGAGTCAACGCGTATGTTCAGGTAGGAGATAGCGGAAGCGATGGAATAGTTTGAGGGTGGAAATTGTCCGTCGAGAGATATGAGAAATATGGTGATTCCAAAAGAGGTTTTGATCAATGAAAAATCCTAAATTTTTAACAGAGGAGTAGAAGGAGATTGGCTGGTCATTAAGGTAAAGGATGGGAAAGTCGATATAGGATCTAAGAAGGGGCTTGGAAGAAATGACAATGGCCTGAGTTTTGGCACCATTTAACCTTAATCCATTTACATTTGCCCAGGCACTAAATCGATCTAGGTCTCCTTGGATCGTGGCAAATGCCCCCAATAACTCAGGAGGGGAAAATGATAGGTACATCCGAGAATCGTCTGCATAAAGGTGGTGGGAACAATGGAGAATTGCTTTATGTAGGTCGTTAATGTAGAAGCTGAAAAGGAGAGGAGATATGCTTGAACCCTGGGCAACTCCACAGGATAAAGAAAGAAAGGCAGATAGCGGTTAATTGGGTATGGAGACTGCTTGGGTACGTTGTGAAAGAAAAGATTGAAACCAAGAGATGGAACTATTAGAGAAGGATAATAATTTCAGTTTGTTGAAAAGGATGGAATGGACTTTGGAGAAGTCGAGAAGGATAAGGATAGTTAACTTTTTATCATCTATTGCAGTTTGAATGTCGCTGGTGATTTTAATTAAGGCGGATTGTGTGGAGTAGCTGGGCGAAAACCAAATTGGAGAGGATCAAGTTGGTTGGACATTTCAAGGAAGTTGGAGACTTGGGATTGCACCAATCTTTCTATGGGTTTTGAGAGGTTGGAAAGAATTGAGATTGGGCGGAAATCTTCGGGTGAGGTCGGGTTAGAATTTTTATTCAAAGGAAGGACAATGGCTTTTTTCCAAAATGTAGGGAATACTGAATTCTGAAGGGAGAAATTGTAGATGAAAAGGAGAACTGGGAGGATTTCAGGGAGACATAATTTTATTAATTTGACAGAGATGCCACCTGGTCCAATGGAATTGGTGTGGGATTTCATTACGGCGGTTAAAAGGTCTGTGGGGGAAATGTTGGAAAAATAAAAGTTATTAAATGATATCTCTATAGGAAAGCCGGAACAGGAGGATGAAGGAGAGGTATTAGCAACAGATATAAAATGCGAGTTTAGATCATCAGAGGATATTCGAAAGGCTGGGGTAAGGGATCTCGAAGGATCACAAAG